AAATTATTGTGATTTCAGTCGAAAAACAATCAGAAAAATCTCAACCAATACTTGACTTTTTAATGTTTGAATATTTCATCAAAAAAACATATTTTAATACCCATTCATATCGCGAACACAATAAATAAGTGGACAATTATAATCACAATAATTTATGCATTATAATTTAATTTGCAACCATCTATGCTAGTATATATTTTATAAATACACTAACAATTTCATATTGAGATTGCACGTATAATGTAATATGCATATATATTGTGTAATCAAATTTATGATTCATTGTAATGAGTGGTACAGTATTGGCGCACAAATATTATTGCATAAAAATAATAAATAAAAATTTATGTCATTTGCGAGTGAAAAAAGCCCATTAAATGCACTGAAATACTGTAATATATTCAATAATATGCGAGTGTTTATATGTCTTATAAATATAAAAACAAATATAAAATTTAATTAACACTTCAATATTCAATACTGTGATAGTGTGTCAGCCCCGCACACAAGCACCTGGTATATCATGGAGTTAGCTAGGTGCAATTTATTGTTATGTTTGTGCCTGTGCGTTTTTGTTATGTTATTTATTGCGGTTGATTGTGCCGGTGATAAACCTAAAGGGAGGTCTAAAAAGCAGCCTGCTCATTTGAGGCAAGCGTCCACCAAAAATAGTACGACATTAGCGTCGAAATGTAGTAAAGAGTCGTATCGGGAAATGGATGTTATGGTGGCCCGGATGACCAGTCCTGATGACAGGTTTCCCGAGACTATTAAGGAGCTCCAGGCTAGATGTCAGTGAGTATGGTCCATTATTGGAGTAATAATTACGTAAAATATATTTAAAGATTTTATATTTTCTATAATCTTGTTAAATTTTAAGAAATTCTTATACTGTTGTAAATTTAAAAAAGGTTATTTTGTATAATAATTAACAAATATGTAAATGCAGCTTAGTGAAACTGTAATTTAATTTAAATTAAACAATAGCTAAAAGTATAGTGATGAACTATTAAAATAATGGTAATAAAAATAGTGAATTATTGACTCCAACTTGCTAACTTTCACTTTTGTTTCTCATTCGTGTAATTTATATTTAGTTTGTATGTTATTTACCCTAGTTCAATATTTTATCAATTATTGGATATCAAATAAATTATCTAGTTTAAAGATTAGATGCACATAAGTGCCATTCATTATGTAATTAGTTGAAAATTATTTAGTTTTATTTTGTAAGTAAATTGTAAGATATTTCAAAATTTAATATATAATTCATAAACTGTACATTTGTTGAAAACATATTTATATGTTGTCAGGGTTGAAAATGTATTAAGATATGGCAGACATAGCTTCAAAAATAGACATACATGTATTTAGTTATGGTGTAATTTAAAACTTATTGGATAACTACAAATAGATTTAGTTGCGTTAAAAATTATTAATAAAACATAAATGAAATGGTTGGGTCATAATCATGAATGAATTATCTTATATGATATTTAAAAACAAACTGCACATTTGATAAACAATTTTAAAATTAAATTTTAACATTAAATAGATTAATGGTATAACGTGCAATAAGCAATAATCTTTCACGTGGTGTATAATGTTTTTTGAACTTGCTTTCTCTCTCACACACTCACTCACTCTACAGCTTACTCGCATTCAAATAATAATATCCAGCTCATTCAATATGTATGCTAAAACATGCGTATCCTTTAGGAACCGGACGGGACTGTTAGCCAAAGTGGAGGACCTAAAGAACCGGTGTATGGAAGGGCTGGTGAAACGGGTGGTGGCAGTGGTGTTGTACTCCATGAAAAGGCAACGAAAGACTA